CTGCTGCGTACGAACTGCCGTCTGCTCCTTATGTATTACCTAGTTAGCATGTTTTTATGGTATGTTATGCAGGGGCTGCATGAGGGATGTAAGGGGATCATGTGGGCAACCCCTCACGCTGTTGCATGGACGTAATTTCAATTGCAATCCGCTGGAGCTTTGGCTGCTATAGCTGCTGCGGTAAAGTGGAATCCCAACCCAAAGTCGCGCCCTGGATCCTTCCGTGCTCGGCACTCGCAACCCCTACGAAAGCGTACAGCACATGGTAAGCTTTGTAAAGTGACTACCTTTTGCCGAGTTTGATTAACATGCACTCACGTAGGGTATAAAGGTTTTCCCTTCAAAGCCCTGTATGGGAAGGAACCTATCATGTTTTGCGTGATGTAGGGGGACTCCTGCCTTCTAGCACAGTAGTGTAGGAGAATAGGATGATCCAACGTAGCATGAGGCCATGTTGCTTGTTCGCCCCAGGCTGTTCTGAAGCAGTGATGTTACGGGGTGGAGCAATGATTTGCAGCAGACATGGGATGCTCTCACGCTGGAATTATACAGGGGCTGCAGGGTGCCGGGTATCACAGAGCGTTCACAGACAGAAGGGGAATTCCGAAAGGAAAGCAAGATGATTATTTCTCTATGTTTTTCAAGTTTGCTCATGAAGAGCTCTGGCCTAACTGGGTCTTCCAAAAAAGCATGCCCGTATGTGATTCGTTCCTAATCCACCATTGGCCTTGCAGGAAGTCCCCAGCGAAAGTGCAAGTCCTTCTACCCTTGCGCCGGAGGCAAGTTCAGGGGTCTGTTGAAGTGGCTTAAGGGGTGAGATGAGGGTAGTTGGTGCCAAAGGCACCGAGCTGTGAAAAAGGGAGTCTTGCAAAAGGAATCCTACATGGTGTCCACCTGTATCCAGGCTCTGTAGCTACTCGAGCTAGAGCTAGAGCGTCGGCTGCTACAGCTGATGCGGTAAAGTACAATCCCAAAGCCAAGCCCAAGCCCAAGCATGTACCCTGCTTTGCACCCGAACCTTAAGGAAGGCTTACAGCACGTGTTCAAAGATGTGACACGGGCTTCAGGAACTTTGAAGAGTTGCAAGGGGCTTTGCAAAGTGAATCTGTGGGGATTGCTTGGGGATTTTGACTAGCATGTGTTTATGTAGGGTATCAAAGCTTTCCCTTTGGAGCCCTGCATGAAAGGAATCTATTTTGTGTTGGGTTGTGTAAGTGGAATCCTACCTTGCAACGGAATAAAATAGGATGATCCAACATAGCATGAGGCCATGTTGCCTGTTCGCCGCTGTTCTGACGTAGTGATGTTACGGGGTGGAGCAATGATTTGCAGCAGACATGGGATGCTCTCACGCTGGAATAATACAGGGGCTGCAGGGTGCCGGGTATCACAGAGCGTTCACAGACAGAAGGGGAATTCCGAAAGGGAAGCAAGATGATTATTTCTCTGTGTTTTTCAAGTTTGCTCATGAAGAGTTCTGGCCTAACTGGGTCTTCCAAAAACGCATGCCCGTATGTGATTCGTTCCTAATCCACCGTTGACCTTGCAGGAAGTCCCCAGCGAAAGTGCAAGTCCTTCTACCCTTGCGCCGCAGGCAAGTTCAGGGGTTCCGCAGCTTGGTATCAAGGTCTGTATGAGATTGGGTTCTCCCATAGAGCTGCCCATGCGTCGGATGCTCTTGTCCAACTTTCAGCGCTGCAGGACTCCCATCATGGCGGAGGAGAAAATTCCTCCCAAGAAGAGAGACAGGCGCTCCCATGGGGTGTGGTTGAGGGGCTGTTCAGAACTGCGATTTTTTTTTGAAAGTACTCCTGACATGGTCCGCAGCAGGGCCCCCTTTCTCCTGACACGCACCGCTTCCACAGGCCCCGACTACAGCAGCAGAGTCGGGAGTATTGTATTTTCACCATTTTAGGCAGGGTTCCTTTCGGGTAAGGGTGCAGAAGGTGCAGGATGCGTTAGTGTCTATGCTCAGGCGTTTCTTCGCCGCCGAGATCCTGTCGTCTTGGGGAAGCAAGCAGCCCTTCATCGCACTTTTGAGGGAGGAGGGAACAGAGTGGATTGCACTGCCCGTACTTAAGTGCTCCGAGCCTTAAACCCTACAGTCCCTTCCAAGCTTTTGTTGGCCATTACTCCACGCCCTTAACCACCAGTAAGGTTGACGGTGTTGTCCACATTCCCCTCGACGAGGGCGACGTCAAACCTGCTCCACTGAGCAACGAGCCGTTGCAGGCCACATGGTTTTAGGGCTTAAGGTTTCAGGTATTAAAGGTCTAAGCAGAGTTTAGGGCCGGAAATTTGTAATTTCGGCTTCTGCTGTCCTCTGCGCCAATTCCCAGGGCCATCATAGGTCCCCCTGCCTGCCTCCCCCCCAGGTCTGCTCGCAATTGAGGTGCTTTAGGGCCAATTGGGGATAGTTAAGGTTATTTAAGGGGTAACGTATGGGCGGGTAGTATAGGGGCGGACAGTGGGGGACCCATGAAGTTTTGAAAGCATCTTGCACGGGGGGCTGGGAACAGGCCCGAAGTTGCTGGTGCCTAAGAGGGAGTCGGAAAGAGGAAAAGAAAATGGAAGCTACTAGACGGAAATCCGGGTTGATGGCTTAGGGTTTAGGGTGCTTAAGAGGTTACTGGAGGAGAGAAGTACTACTTAAGGGACTACAGCGCTACAGCAGGATGGCTATAGGGATTCACTTGCCCACTTCACTTTGGGCACCAGTAAGTGAAGCTGTGCCAAAGACTTTTGGTGTGAGGTGACTCCTGAAGCTAAACCCAAAACCCGATATGCTGAGCCCTCACCTCTAAACCAAGCACGAAGAGTCAGGTCTTGAGGTAGGTTAGGGACACACTCGCCTGCTAGACGTGTTTCCCCAGTATCCATATTTGGTTGCCCTATCTGCCTGCCTTGAACGGTAGAACCCGAACACCCAAATCCCGGGCCCTAAACCGCGTTAGAAGGACGTGTGGGAACACCTCACGGACCTGACGCGAGAGGCGTTGTCCCACGGATTGGAGCAGTACCCTAGGAACTCTTCAAACTTGGTGGGGGCCCCTTCTAGGAGCAACATGCACCTTGCATCAGCATAAAATGGGTATGATTCAACAATTTAACCTATCATCCCCCCTTTGGTCATGTGGACTGTGGCTGGGGTCTTGTGGTTTAGATCAGGTCTATGGACGGTTTCTAGTGTTAAGCGAGGGTCTGTAAAAGGTTAAGACGGTTTACAGAGGGGTCATAGTTTCATAGATCATTTATGATGTTTCGGGAAGGTTAAACAGGATTTCGGTGCATTTCTGAAGGGCTTATCCAGGCTTTTTACAGAGGGCCCCTAAACCCTAAACCTTGCAACCTAACACCTAAGCCCTAAACCCTCAAGCCCATATAAACTTGCCATTACTTCGGGTTCCCTAATTTCCTTAGTCTCAAAACTTCAAGCGCAAAATGACCACCCAAAAACCAAGCAATGGTAATAAACCCTAGGCCTCAAACCTAAAAAAAAACAACTATAGGCCTAACACGTAAGCCCTAACCCCTCCCCTCCCTTCCCTTGTCATGTATCCTGCCATCTGGGTCTGGTGGTTCAAGGTTTATAGAGGAATTATCGTGTTCGTAGGGGGTTTACGAAGGTTGACAGAAGGTTCACGGGCTTTATACAAAGTTCGACGCAACTTTCTGGAGGGTTTTCGGAGGGTTTCTATAGGGTTTATACAGCATGCCAGAGAGCTTGTAGAGAGTACCCTAAACCCATAGGGTTGAGGGTATTAGGGTTTAGGGGTTAGGTTTTATAGATATGTATTCTGATGAAGTTCTATGTCGTCATCCTCAAGCAAATAGAATATGAACCTGAGTCCGCACCGGATGAGTCCCCATTTGAGCTAAAGTCTAAAAGGGGGTTATGTGGGGGATTTTATAGGAGAGTATTATGGGGTTATTAAAGGGGGATACTCGGAGTTTGGACTGTAGATAATATGCCTTGCAGTCAATCTACTTGACGAGGGCTCTAAGAACCTACGTTCTGGGAGTTGAAGGGGCAAAGCCAAAAAGCTATTGATATGGACAATTAATCCCGTATGACATTGTTCCGGGTTGATGTAATGCTGTCCCTGAGGCCTAAACCCGAAACCCTCAACCCTAACCATAGGATGCATTCTCACTCCTAACAATCCCCTAAACCCTAAACCCTAACCCTAAACCCTAAACCCTAAACCCTATGATATGTCGGAGCAAGTCTAAAAGTGGTGGGGAGTTTGATTGCGGAGGAGGCGCCATTATGATTTGCGGGTTTCCCAAAATTAGGGGTACCCTTATTGGGGGTCCCCATAATAAGGACTATAGTATTTTGGGGTCTATATTGGGGTACCCTGATTTTGGGAATGTACCATTTTGCTTTATCCTGGAAGACTCTCAGGTGTTCGCGGATTAGTCTTCACTCCGGGGTCTGAAAACGAACCCCAAAGATCAAATCCTAAACCCTGAGCTTTTCCAAAAGAGTGACCACGCAGCAGCACTCCAAAAGCAGCTCAAACTTCGGTGCTTTGCTCAAATGCAGTGTTTCTTTGGGTTCACCTACAAGACAACTCCCTGAATTTTTATTCTTGGTTAGTAGTCAGGCATGAAGGAATTCCATTTTTCCGTACTCAAGGCCTAATCCACAAGCGACAGTTTTCCTTTCCATCGTTTCCTTCTCGCATTCCCTTCTACAAGCCAGCAAGGTCTAGCAGAATCTTCCGAGCTTTCTAGACTGGTGAGTCACATGCAACTGGAAAAACAAAGGCTCATGAACTAGAAGCTGGCTTATATGGGTTTTGAGGCTGTCGAGTGAGGATCTGAATACTGAACAGCTTTGGAGGGTAGTATCAAGCCCTTGAAATCCAGAACTTCGCTGCTAAACCCTAGGTCCTAAGCCCCAAACCATGCAATACCCTAAACCACGAACCATCCAAACCTTGAACCCCACACCATGAAAACCCGAAACCCCAAACCCCACGCCCCGTTTGCAGGTCGAGTGTGATGTGAGCCTACGGCAGATTCGTGGGTATTGGGTGTTCGTGGCCATTGACTGTGGGCTGGCCTTCGCCACTATCTTTCCAGTTATCTGCATCCCACCCTTTTTGTACCTCCTCGTCAAGTACAACTTTATCTTGAAGATAAACTTCAAGCGAGAACAAGTACAGAACAACGATTGCTGGTCGTTGTTGGCCAAGTTTCAATCATGTTTCATCATCGTCTTTGACTTTTGCTTGCTGTTTGTTGGCTGGATTTGGATGCTTGTGGAGAGTGTGCGCTTTCATTTGGACTGTGCATGGTTCTGGACTGGCTGGGAAAAGCTGCTGGAAAGGGACAATTTCAAGCCATTGCTCATTGTAAGCTATATGCAGGTCGGTGTTTCCCAAAAACAGGATCCTGGATAATCGGCAGAAAAAACTTCTGTAATCTGTTTCCAACCTAGTCTTATTTCTCCAAATCCCGACTTTCAGGTCTCTTTCCTCAGAAACAGCCTCTTTCAGCTGGCTCTACTGTATGTCCAGATCCTTCGACACCAAGTATGCAAGGCAGACATCATGGTTCGCCAGCATAAGGACAGCTTCAAGAAGAAACTTGTCGATCCTGACAAGAAAGCCAGTGCGGTCTTGAAAGTAATGGAGATGATCATTGCAAAGAAGCATGGCTCATATTCTTTGGATCGTCGTACCTCAGTGATGATCTTCATGTTGGTGGTTTCCGCCGTGCTGCTCATTGTTGGAATGGCTGACTTGGCCGAACGGAAGGAGCAGGAAGCACGGGAGGTCTTGTTCGCAGGCAAAGATGATGACTGGTGGCAGGTAAGGTCACACACTGCTACAGTGATAATGTCCCTTGGATGGATCCGACTTGTTTCGTTGGCGCTGCACGTGGTCAGGAGCTACCATAAGAATGTGGACAAGGTACTGCTCTTCTCAGCGACAACAGCAACAACTCCGTTCTCTCCGCGGCCGGAAATGTATAGCGCTCGCGTGCGAGCCCGGCTGAAGGACATGGAGCTCCAGAAGCTTGTGCTGGAAGATGAGAATAGCGAGGCTTTGCCAGGTGCAAACAAGGAGGAGCCCAAAACTCGCGAAGCCTCGATTCGCCTTGACCTGGCCGAACTCAAAGATCTACGAGCATGGTGGCTCCTGCGACGGTACACAGAGATCGACCTGGTGAATGAGATCGTGCAAGTTGAAAGCTTTGGAGTCATGGTCGCATGCCTCCTTGCTGTTTTCTTCATTCTGGCACTGCTGGATGCAATCCTGCGCTTCAACCTGCTTACTTGGGGCTTTGTACTTGTCTACCTGGCTTCCTTTTGCTTGTGGCCGCTGCTCGGTCAGGTCTTCGAGCTCTTGGGTCCTTGTTTGGAACACAGTTTCTGTTGCAAGTGACCCTGATTCGAAGTTCTCGAGCCCAAATCCTGAAATCCAAATTCCCAAGCCCAAAGCTTGGGAGCGTCAAACGCAAGCTCTGGTCTATAACCCTGCTGGCAAAGATCTCAAACAACAAGGGCGTTTGGTAACCCCGCCCACCACAGTAGGACCTCATAGCTATCAGATGATTACAAATAACTTGCTCCTCATTTTTCAGCTTAGGGTTACCAAAATCATTTGAGCCATAGTCTAAACTCCTTAAAGGGGGTTATATAGGGGATTAGATAGGGGACTACTATAGGGGATATTAAGGGGGATACTAGGAGTTTAGACTATGCCTCATTTCGCAATGATGCACTTGAATCCAGGTATGGCATTGAGGTCAACTCCATCACTGCGCTGGAGGCTCGTGCCTTGTCTGACGCGAACATCAAACTCCTGTTGCCGGCCTCTTGTTGGTAGCGTTTCAGGGCCCGTAGCGCTAGGGGTTTGTGAGGTTTAGATTTTGAAGCCTTTAGGGCTTGTAGGGTTTATCGTTTATGGTTTTTCTTGCATAGGGTTGAGGGCTTGTAGGTTTTAGTAGAGAACGGGAAATATCCGGATTGATTGCTACTACGTACATTGCATGACCATAAGTATCCTAAACCTTGGAAACTATGGCGTAAGGTCATAACCCTAAAGCCTAAACCCTGAACCCTGAGGGTATGCGGAATACCACCAATATGCACCTGCTCAGTGGGCTTTAACCCTTGTCTTCGAGTGGGTAAAAGAGGTGTTGCAAAAACCCTTAGACCCTAAACCCCGTTCTCTCTGTTCAAGAAGCAAGGTTGTCGAACGAGCAGAGCACGACAAATTTGGCCTCCATGAGATCCATAGATTTTAAGGTTTACTCTTTGGGGATTTAGGGGGTTTAGGGTTTAGGGTTCAGGAGTTCAGGGTTTAGGGCTTAAGGCTTCAGAGTTTCAGGTTCAGGGTTCAGGGCTAGGGCTAGATAGGATTTTGAAGGTTTCTGAATCCAAAGCCAAAGGTCAAAATCCAAGAGCCCAGAATCCTTGGCTTGACAGTCAAGACCCCCGGGAATTATTTCTACATCCCAATTTCTTGTACTAAACGTGGATTAGGGTTTAGGGTTTAGGGTTTAGGGCTTAGGCTGAGGGTTTAGGGTTTAGGGCACTAACCCCACTCCCAAAATTCTAGTCGGTGGAAGATGGCCCTAAAACCTTTTAAGCCTCACCCCAAACCCCAAACACAGCTGTTTCCGCCAGGAGGCTCAGCGTCTTGCAGAAGAAGTTGGAGGGCGAACCCCCAGCCCAGAGACGCCCCACTGTTTTCGTACAGTCGGTTGAGCAACAGTCTAAACTCGTAGTATCCCCCTTGATAAGCCCTATAATTCTCCCGTGTATAATTCCCGATATAACCCTCTTTAAGGAGTTTAGACTATCGCTCAGAGTTAGGGCTTGGGCTTGGGCTTGGGTAGTCCCCAACTTGGCATGGACCCCCACGAAGGCTTCATACTTGAATACAGGGGTATACGGGGATGCCCAGGGTTTAGGGTTGAGTCTGTGGTAGATGCCAAGCCGGCATTCAACTTCACAACGGGTGTAAAGCAGAGGACGACGAGGAGGAGGAGGAAGAGGAGGAAGCATAGCCAGGATGATGATGATGATGATGACGACAATGATTCTGATGATGGTGATTCTGATGATGTCGAGGATGAGGATAACGGTTTTGGATGTTTTTTTCTCAAAGCGATGTACCATGTGGCTTGCCAATGAGATTCCGACATAGCACGAGCTTTCAGGGTGCTTTTCTCCAAAATTCGTAGTGGCAGGGTTCTCGCTTTGAGTCTTGGCACTGTTGGGGGGTAGTGTGCGGACTTGATCCCGAGTTTGGATGGCTTGGTGAGGGTGACGAGATGGGAGATGTGAGGTGTTTCAGGTGGAGTGCAGGCAGGCTGCAGGAGCTCTGAGGTAGGGAGGCAGAAGTGGGAGTCGATGAGGGCGAGTTGCCTTTTGGTGACGTAAGGCGTTTGTCGTACCATGTGCCTTTATCCTCTTTTTCGGCGCCGCGTTTTGGAGACGCGGTGCCTCCAAAAGACTAGCACATAACAAGACCCGCCCAAGTCCCTACAGTGCTGCAAGGAATCCCCATACCCGGCCTTACGAGAGTCTACATCGGTGTCCTCCCGCCCCATCATGGTCCCATGATGTCCTATGAAACACCCACAAGCCCCTAAAGTACTTCAACAGCCCGCATAATCATCTTTTGTGAGCTTTGGGAGCTGAAATGTCGTTTCCATATGCTGAACCTGTCCAAGCCCCTCTATAGATTTTCGCCCCCCCCCTCCCCCCTA